TTAGTTTAATTTGCATCCAGCAATATGCGATCAGCTGTTTTTCGTACTAGCAAATTGTTACCAGTAAAAATCCAGTAAAAACGTGCAACTTCAGCTGTCATTTTCGCTGTCTCAATTTCCCCTACTTTGGAAGTTTTTGCGTTTAAAAAATTACCCATATGCAAAAATTTCAATTTTCGACTTGGCAAGTTTTGCCGAATTTTATTAAAAACAAAATAATTTCGTATTTCATTGAAGCTGACAACTCTACTGTTATTAGCATTTCTCTTCGTTTTATTATTTACTCTCCCTCTCTCTCTCTTAATTGGGGGGAGGAAATAGAAACATTTTTGAATTTGTGTCATAGCCAACAAATGGCAAGCGGAAAGAAAGGCGTACAAGAACACCAAGATAAAGCGACGTCGTATCATGCCAGTGTTAATAAAGCACATACACCTGTAACCGAATTTGTTGAATGTAAACGTTTAAATGATAAATTTAATTCATTATCATCCAGAAACAAACGAGCTCAAGTTAACGTAGAGTTAGTTGAGCAACAAAACGATAAACATATTCACTATTTGAATTTCAAACAAAGAGCAAGCAGCGCCAACATCATCTTTACTTTACCTTCAACGCTCCCTTTATATTTGACGCCGCGGATGTGGGCCCGTCTTCTACATGCCGATATTCCATGTTTAGCCATTACTCAGGTAGAGAGTTGTACGTGTTGTGCTCTGAATGAAAGAAAGTTTCCTGCATTGCAATGAAATGGTCGAGTCTGTGAGTCTGTTTGCTTGTTATGCACCTCTTTTGCTCACCTATTAATCTTTTGTTTCTTTCATTTAGCTCTGCTAGTTGTGGCAAGCTCTACATTCTACATACTTTCGACGTTCTACGTTGGCTCCAATAGAAAATATTGGGTACGCATACATATGGATGCGTGTATTGTTGTTGTGGGGGTGCAGCGCCACCAATCGGTTGTCAGTAAAAATATAATTTGGGGGAAGCACATTTCAGAGAGCCTGTTAAGTTTTAGTTATACAATAACTTATATTGTCTTTTGAATTTCCATCAAAAGTATGCAATCAACAGGCGCTTAGACAGTGGTTCATAGATAATGGTGCTCTTAAATTTACATTAATTATTTTGAAGTAGAACGTATACAAATTTACATACATACATATATATAAGAGCTTAAACTTCTAAACAATAGAACACACATAAATATAGCACACCATTTTTAAAATAGGCACAACTCAAAAATCAGAACCGATGGATAGTAAAGATTTAAATTTCAAACAGGCTTAACAAGTGTTTTCTAGTTAGAAAATATAATATTGAAAAAAAAAATAATTTGCATTAATTGCAGAAAAATCCTACGAATTGATATTTATGCTTTAAAAATCTACCAAAAATTTTTGAGAGTTGTGCCCCTTTTGAAGATGGTGTGCGGTATGCACATTTGCCCCTCCAATATTTGACAAACAAACGATCTCGAGCACATAAATAAACTCTTACATATTGAACTTATTAGATCATCATAATCAGTAAAACTATTTTTCTGTTCAAAGCAACTCATTTGAAAATGTGGATTCACGTGTATAATATTAAGACCATAAAAAAGGTTCTTTGAATATTGACTGCTACTTCTCATTACCTAACCCACTAAAACCGTATTTGATGAGCTTGTAACAGCAATTTTAATTAAATTTATTTGCTATAGGGTTAAACATAGATGACCATGTACAATGAACATAGAGTAGCGGCCACACTGATTAATCGTGTTGAAACTCCGCTGTGTCTAATAAGAAAATAAATTTTTAAATATTTTTATAAACTTTCAATAAAACTAACAAAAATCAGACTTGCAAACTTTGTGCAAAATTTAAGAAACTGTAAATTTTAATTAAAATTCTCACATTTTTTATTGCATATTTAAGGATAAATTTGGGAATGCAGTGTTGAAGTTTATTGAATTTCGGTAAAAAAACGCAATTTTGAAGTAGCTAAAACTTAACATTGATTTTTGATTTTTTTCCTTGAATATGTTGCTAATTTTGTTCCAAACAAAAACAAATTCGAGCATATGTTATATGGAAGAAATTAAGCAATGATTTCACGAAAAAAAATTGTCAAAAATCAACGGTCTTAGCTTTGCCATATTGCCTTATTTACCAAAATTCGATAAACTACAAAAATGTAAAGCGAAATTTATCCGAATTCGGAGAAGTTTCTTAAATTTTGTTTTGTTGAAGGATGAACTATATTTTATAAAAAAACGCAATAATATATTTACTTAGACCCAGCGGAGGTTTAAAGCGATTAATTGGTGTCCATATTTCGGTGGCCGCTACTGTATGTATCTGTAAATCATTGTTTGGTGTTGACTATTATAAATATTATTAGTGCATCAAATGCTTTGTCCCGCGAAAGAAAAAAAAATTACTTTGTTTTAATTTTAGATTGCGAATTAATAGTAAATTCTTTTATATTAAATCGTCCATGAAAATAAAAATAGTGGAAATAAAATTGAAATGCAAATACATACACTCACTCCATTGTATCTGCGTACACCCTTGTTATTTCTTTTGTTATTATTTTTACAAAAATATGGTTGTTGCTATACACAAAACCATATGAATCAAAGTTTGAAACTGTTTACAAAATTAAGGAAACTTGAACGAATCTTCATCAAAACTTTAAACTTTTTTCTCAGATTTTCAAAAAAAAATTTTTTTATGCAGTTTTATAGCTCATTCAATTTTAGTATAATAATGTACAAGTTTGAAGTGGCTAAAAAATCGCGTTGATTTTTAATAATTTTTTTGCTGACAGCTCTACGTATTTTCTTCAATATAAAAAAAATCGCTCATATGGAGAAAAATGCCTGGAGCCATCAGCAAAAAAATTAGCTACATTTTTAAACTAAAATTGAAAGGGCTATAAAACTGCATAGGAGATTTTTTTTTAGAAAATCTGAGTAAAAAGTTTAAAATCTTGATGAAAACTTGTTAAAATTCGAAATTTTGATGTACATATATAGTTTTATTTAAAGCATGAACCATATTTTTGTACTACAATAATAAAAAAATATAGCTTGCAAAAAGTGAATATCGAACAAAACAAGCACGTATGCAGATATAATGGAGTGAGCGTACATTTGTATGTATGTACATAAGTATGTACATTAGGCTGGTACAAAAAAAATTAAAGTCGGAATTCTAATGCTCTCACCCCCTAGGATTGTTCTATACCGAAAAACATTTTTAGAGGTCGCTTAAAACGCTCAAAGTTTTCAATGTATTTTATATGGATAAAACAACCCTTCGTAGAAATGGTTTAGAATTCTTGAAAATCAATATATGTACATATGTACATATACATAGAGAAATTTAAAATCGAGCATCCAAAGATTGCACCAAAGGAAAATATGTATTAGTAATAAATGTTTAACATTCTTAACTACTGTTACACTTTTGCTCCTTAGTGTACATGCGTATGTATATATGTGTGCATAACATACTGCAAATAGAGATTTTCAAGATTATTTAATATTTCGTTTTTTTTTTAGCGAAATTCATATGAAATATCTAAGCTGTAATTTTTATAATCTCCATATGTAAATTTTCCTTTTACTTCTTTCCCTTTATTTCATTACCTTCTGTAATCCCATATTGATCGCTTAATATTTTCTATATGTTTCTTCCACATTATTTTTCAGACAATATACTGCGATAATTTTTTCCTGATATCGATGCAGATGTAGTAATTCAACAAGTGCATTATTTTTTCCAAAGCAAAAAAAAAACCGTATTTAGAATATACCAAAAATCACTGAACAACTAAAGAGAAAGTTAATAAAAAAAAGAGCTCATCGCCGAGGACCAAAGAGGATTTTCCACGGTTTCTGTACGGTCGCTATGACCATTATACTATTCTTAGTCGACACATCCGCGTCGATGTGCCAGAAAGCATATGTGAATGGCGTACAAAAGTCATATCTGGACATAGCAAAAGGCGCGGTCGAGACATTCCTCAAATATCGTCAACGCACTCAGGATTGCCTTGGCGATCGTTATATGTTGTTAACTTTTGAGGAACCACCAGCAAACGTTAAGGCCGGCTGGAAGGAGAATCATGCAACATTCATGAATGAGTTGAAAAATCTACAGAGCAATGGGCTAACTTCAATGGGGGAATCACTAAAGAATGCCTTCGATTTACTTAATTTGAATCGTATGCAGTCCGGTATCGACACGTACGGACAGGGCCGTTGCCCATTCTATTTGGAGCCGTCGGTAATAATTGTGATTACTGATGGAGGTCGTTACTCATATCGTAATGGTGTGCATCAAGAGATCATACTGCCGTTGAATACACAAATACCAGGAACAAATTTTACAAAAGAACCATTTCGTTGGGATCAACGACTTTTTTCCTTAGTATTGCGCATGCCTGGCAACAAAGTTGATGAGCGTGTTGAGGGTAAAGTACCACACGATGATTCGCCAATAGAACGCATGTGTGTCGTGACAGGTGGCCGTTCGTATCGTGTGCGTTCGCATTATGTACTCAATCAGTGCATAGAGAGTTTAGTGCAGAAGGTGCAGCCGGGTGTGGTTTTACAATTTGAACCGATGTTACCGAAGGATGGTGTGCCAAACGAAGCGCTGCAAGACATAATTTTCCAGCCCATGAAAAAAATGATATACGTACAAAAGCATATTACACAAAAGACCTTCCCTATCGGTTACTGGCCACTACCGGAGCCATACTGGCCGGACCCGAAGGCAGTTACCCTGCCGCCGCGTGATGCGCATCCGAAATTAAAAGTCGTCACTCCCGCTGTCGACGAACCGCAAATGGTGCGCAGCTTCCCCGTCGACAAGTACGAGATCGAAGGTAGTCCGCTAACTCTGCAAATACTTCAAAAACGTGAAATGAACAAATGCTGGCAAGTGATCATATCGAACGGTATGCACGGCTTCGACTTACCCTTTGGCTATTTGAAGGCATCACCAAATTTTACACAGGTTCACCTCTATGTGTTAGCATATAATTACCCGGCGCTATTGCCGCTGCTGCACGACCTCATACACAAGTACAACATGAGTCCGCCCAACGATCTCATGTACAAATTTAATGCTTACGTGCGCTCAATACCGCCATACTACTGCCCATTTCTGCGAAAAGCGTTGCTCAACATCAATGTACCGTATCAGCTGCTCCAATTTTTGTTGCCAGAAAATATCGACAACTACCTGTCACCGAACATCGCCAACCAGTTGAAGCATATCAAGAATACCGCCAAACAGGATCAGGAAAATCTCTGTTTGAAGGTATATAAGCAACTAAAACAGCCGAAACCACCGTATCGCCAGATCGAAACAGCAAAATTGAATCCGGGTGTTCCGCTGCGACGCGATCTTGTGCGCCATCCATTGTTGAGAGAAACGTTTTCCAAACTACACGCAGAGATTGAGCCGCTGGAGAATTACACCATAGTTGTACCACAGCTGACGCGCCAAGCTTCAGCAAAATCGTATCGTAATCCATTCGATATACCGCGTCGTGATTTGATGGAAGAAATAGCGCGTATGCGGGAAGCTGTTCTTCGGCCAGCGCCCACAAGTCTAGTGGCTAAAGATTCTGGTCACTGCCTGCCCATAGCTGAAATGGGCAATTACCAGGAATATTTGAAGAATAAAGATAACCCGTTGCGTGAGATCGAACCAACGAATGTTAGGCAGCACATGTTTGGCAATCCTTACAAAAAAGACAAGCATATGGTTATGGTGGACGAGGCTGATCTCAGTGATGTGGCACCAATGAAATCAAATAATGGCGCTGGCGGTGCGCCCATGCCGGGCGTGCCAGGCGGCTTGTCAAAGAAAATCGATGCCTCACGGGCGCGCAAACGCAAAGCGGGCCCAATACGCAAGGATTACATTTTTCGGCGTACTTCCACCGATGTGCGACCTAGCACGTCGAGTCTTAGTGTAACGTCCTCGAATTCCTTGAGCGCTTCGGTTTCTTCACTTTCCGACTTTGATGATGATAGCGCCTCAGACACCGCGTCTATTTCGTCCGGCATGTCAGACGACGGCGATCCGGACCGACTTGTAGTGGCTTTCGACTTCAACGAAGACGAACCCGGCGACCCGCTAATAAACGGTTATGTGCGCAATTTCATCAACGGCATTAGCGATGAAAGTAGCTGTGATTCAGACATGAGTGGACCTAGTTTAGGCCAAATCAATTCAACTGTGGCCCTCAGTATTGCGGCGGGTACTTTGCCATTAACACCTGTTATACAAATGCATAACAGCAACAACAACACTTTGACACCTATGTCACCGCCCGGTTCGCCACAACCCTATTTGAACACTTATGGTCAGTCTGCAGATTCATTGCCTGCTGTTGGCTCGATAGTGTCACCAAATATTTTAGCTAATGCCAACCCATTGTTAGCACCGAATGTATTCGCGTCACCAATTCAAATCAATGGCAACGCTTTGATGGGCATTCCCACAGCGTCAGCTGCGCTGGGAGCGGCAATATCCATTTCAGCAGTGGTGACCTCACCCACAGTGGTGACTCCACCGCCTGCCTATCAACACAACGATATTAACGACGCCCAGGAAATCTCGCGCATACTGCAACAATGCCATAATGGGACTTCTGGAATATCGAGCGCAGCCTCTACTGCAAATTTTAATTTGCCAGCCAACGCGGGGTCAATTAAAATGGAAACAGAGTCAGCGTTAATGCCACCGCCACAACCTACGGTGAATTCCCCAGCATCTACTACACTTTCCGTCAACTTCGACACACTGAAACGCGAGTCCAGTGTGGCCAACAACGCGAGTATATGCAGCTCCAATCACTTGTCGAATCACAATCAACACCATAGCAATATAACCAATAGCATTGGTAATGGCGGCGGTCAGCGTAGTGGTAATGCTGTTTTAGGGCCGCTACCGCTCACAGAAGAGCAGCGTGACGCAGCACGCAAACATAACCTAGAAATTCGAACGCAAGTTTTTCGCGATATACGGCGTCCAGGACGCAATTACTCGCAACTATTGGAACATCTCAATCTAATCAAAGGTGATTTTGATATGAAATCAAATTTCATAAAAATGTGCATCAGCGAATCAATGCGTTTCCGGCGGAAGCAAATGATGAATAGCATACAGGAGTGGTGGGATAAGAAGCAAGAGCAATTGCATGTGGCAATCCCCCCACCAACAGCCACAGCAACGGCGACAAGTTAACAATTACTGCTTTGGAATGTAAATTGAGCTAGTGAATTATTCACCCATTCACCGGCACAATCGTATAAAGGATAGTTTGTGTGAAAATGCCCTAACATCACCATCGTAGACCACCAAGGAGCCACAGGCCGATCTATACAAATGAACATTTAAGCCCAATAATGTACAAGATAAATGCGGCGATCTGCGAATTGGTGCTAAAACGCGCATAAGTACATATATGTGAAATGGAATGCACATAGGGTATGTGTATGTATGTATGTATGTAAGTGCGTATGCGAGCGTGTATGTGAACACAGACGAATGGGCGATTATTTTTCATTGTTGAGAAAGTGGGTAGTAGATGTGGGCGTGGCATTTTGGTTAATGATCTGAATACTGAGCTGGGATGTTATTGCGTGCGAGTGTTCTTTAAGGGATTATAGCTGCAAGCAAAGGACCTTTAAATTGCTGTCAATAAATAACAAAGTAATGTCCACAGGTTAACCCGGGTAACTGCCGGGTGTAACATATGCATATGTATGTACATATTAGGCGGTTTAAATTTGTTAAAAATTATACGAAATTGTGTTTTCTGTTAAAAATTTTAAAGGCACAAAGTAATTGTAATTGTGAAGCGTAGGATTGCAGCTTCCCACTTTCATTAGTAGCTATTGTTTATCTAGTTTCAATTTAAAATACCCTTTTTAATGGTAATTGTGTTGTTGTATGAAGAATATACTATCACTGCCCAGATGGGCTTCTTTACCAATCGTTGCAGCTTTAAAGTTGATATAGAAAGATTTTTAAATAGAAAAGATGTAACAAATTCACCCACATACATACTACAAAATTAGCAATTTTTGTTTTTAATAAATTCTGCTCTGTGTATACTTTGTCCTTGCCGAATGAAGCCTACGAGCACGAATTTTCACCAGTGATGACTGCTTTATGCACCTAATTTTTCTTTGAACTTACAGCCGCAGCTTAAATGCTACCAATCGCTTGTCTAGATAATACACACAAACGCAGCTCCCACAAACCCATTTTAGCTATATATGTATGGCCTGATTAAATCTTAGGAAGCATATAGTCAACTTGTCATTTGGTTAATTCCACCCCACTTAAAGGCCACATAAAGAGAAATGTGATTGCGCTGCTTTAGTAGACTTTAAAACGAAAGTAATTTTTTGCTTTGTTTAAAACACTTTAAATTCCTTTATTTTCCAAACAAAAACCACATACGTATATTAAGTTTAATATAGAAAAACCGTGTTGAATGAAAAAAGGGGTATCCCCAAGGCACCCTGTTCGCTTCACTAAAATTCAATGTTAGTTAACGATAAGGGATAAATACATACACATACATATGTATGTATGCATAGACATGTAAATAAAAGCAAAAAATAATAATATTTATAAAGATCGAGGATGACTCTGGCCTGCGCAAAAAAATTGTTTATAAAAACTTCAATAAAATATGTATGAATGTATGTATTCAAATACACCTAGGTTTTTTGCAAAAAATTAAAAAAAAAATATATACATATATTAGTAAAGAATTCATTTTCAGTGTTTTTATTTTCTCAAACAACATTTCCTAGTTAATTGTAAATACTGTAACACTACATACCGAATTGGACATTTTTATGTGGAAATTCCAGCAAATATTTTAAAAACTTAAAATTTAGATCAGAACGTGAAAATATTTAAAAAATTGATACATAAAATACGAATACATAACGTAAAAACTTAAGAAAATTTTTGAATGTATCTTAAATATTTTATAATATTGAATTATAAATGAGTGAAAGAGACACAAATATACATAATTACATTTATGAGAAATATTTTTAAATCTTCATGCTTATCTACTAGTACATGCAGTGAGTAAGTTAAATCAAAAAAAAACATTTTATGGCGAAAATAATTTTATGGCAGCAAGAATTTTGCTAAAAATTTATTTACTTAGTTACATAGCAAATTTTACGAACATTTTCAGATTTTACCATATTCCCTCCGAACCAACAGCGTATGTACGAACGCATGTTGTGCAATCACCAAATGTGATTAACGATATGCATATGTATGTATGTATGTATGTATGAATGCTATGAACCCATGCTAACACGCCGATCAAATGACGAACTAACCGTGGATTTGCACAAAGGAAAGTATTTTTCAATGTACATACATATAATTGATATATATATATATAATCCAACCCAACTAACTTTTTTCAAATTGTACATTTTTTAACATTTCGAGCGCGGGTTTAAAATATTTCCGTAGATTTTTGCAACATTTGCCTAAAATTATGCAATGGATAATGATTGTGACTAATGGTGGTTCAACTGACTGCAGAACGCGTCCGGTAATAGAATTTGTGAGAAAGTGTGTGTGTGCACATAGTAGGTACCCTGCAGGAAATAGAAAAATATCAGGCCGGCGTGCTCCTGATGAATTTGTTCAATGACGATGTAGACAATTAGCCTCATCCCGTACTCTACGATTTAGTTAGAAATAGTCCGAAGTAGCGCGGAAGATAGTACTGAAGATATTATAAATGTGTGTACTGTAACGACTTCGAACTATTTCTGACCAAATCCTGGTGTACGGGAACATGCTAAAGGCCAGTATGCAGCTCTCAAGAAAACGGTCAAGAAAAAAACTGGCATTATTTCGTTTGTGCATGCAAGGAATTTTGACATCTGATACTTCACAGCCTGCAATGGGCATATATTTCTGCTGCAAATATGGGTTGCCCTGTGCTCCTTTTTCACAAAAAAAACTTTAGAAAACCGTAGTATGGAAATTTGTCTCAATAAAATTTCTTAGCTATTTCTTGTACGTCATTTTATATGGAGTTTTTGCTTTTCCTGAGAACTGCATTCTGGCCTTAAATTACGTTACGCTTAAGTAAAAAATGCTGCATCGCTGTAAAACTGTTTTTTATATATGTATGTATAGCTGAATTTGATAGATATATATGTATGTACATATGTATGAAGCTGCAACCGCCTAAGCGATTCCCGTCGAGTCCAATAAAGCACGGCAGTTGTTTCCAAGTGAAGCCAAATCATTCTCCACTTCTGCCTTTCCACCGCTGAGGATCCCGAAATCGACAAATAAATGGCTTGTGTCGATCTTTAATATTATCGCAGGTCTTTTACAATATTTGGCGTATGGTGCGTTTGCCATGCCTACAGCCTCACTGATAAGTCGCAATCGATTCGCGGGGCCAGCATTTGAAGCTCTTCGCACTTCCGTATTTCGGTCTCTCTTTTTTCTTACGAAAAAATACGTTTCATTTCCTTCTGCAGCTCACTAATCGGTCTCGCGTAGCTCGCCTTGCGTCCGATCACAGAGTGACCCTCTAAGCGGCACCTTTTCTCTGTACAGCTTCGTGATATTCCTCATCGTACCAGTTCTTTCGAGCTCGCTGAAATCCAATTCTTCTTCGGCGGCTGTACTTAATTAACGGAAAATGTGGTTCACTGATCGCATAATTCGGTTTGTTGAAGAGTGTTATCAGAGAGCAGGTGTGAAAGTCGCGGGGCGAATGAATTGACCGTCTGTTGTGATTACAGCTTTTTGACGCTGGGCTTTCCTTGTGTTTCTGGACTCGTATTAATTGCTGCACAGAGGCGTGTGCGTTTATAGCCTGCAACAAGAACGTGGTCCGATTCGATGTATGAGCCTCGAAATGTACGTATGTATGTACGTCTAAACGCTGGAAGCGTGCCTTCCGTCTATCACAACATGATCGATTTTGTTTCTCGTTTTTCGATCTGGAGACAGCCATAAAAGTGGCACCGTAGTACTGTTTCTTACTAGTATGTTTGTGGCCGGCTAAGTCGATCAGTTTCAGTCCGTTATCGGACGTTTCCTCATGGAGGCTGAATTTTCCGACGGATGAACCAAATATCCCCTCAGTTCAGATGCTGATAGCCTCAGCCACCTCACACGCTTTTATTCTCCGATCGACGAATATCATTCCATGAATTTTGTCGACGATTTCTGGCGTGACGACCTCTTTTGGGTGACCTGAACGCTCGGTGTCACTTTGCGTTAACCCAGCAGAAAATTTGGAATAGTTAAAAGTAACCCAGCAAAGAATCTGGAATTTTTCATTAGAAATACCTGCTGCAAGTGGTTGTACTATACTAGTGTGTTGATGCAAAGCAATACGAAAATATTAAAAACAATGAAATGATTTCGGGACAATTTCGGGTCTAGTTCAGATTTAGTTCAGCAGCTTTTCGGCATTTATTTGTGGCTAGTTCAGGACACAGATGTTTACACAATAAATTCCATGTTTAGCTGGTACTCACGTCTTTTTTAATGTTTCTAGGTTCGGGGATCGAACCTGGGACCTCGGCTCGAAATCGAACAAGCTTCCCAAAAATGAAGGCGTGGTTGGAGTTCTACAATTTATAGTTGTACATGTGTATGGTTTTTTTGAGTCTCTGATTACCATTTTGACAGCTAAGCAGCTATCAAGGCTCTTGGCTTCTAGATGGTTCTTTCGAGAACAGTGGAAGATTGTTTGACTTCCTTATCGACCGCATCGGATTACTACGCTGTTGAGCTAATTTGGGTTCTGTGCCTCAGCGAAAACAATGGAAACTGCATAGGCGATGAGCTGGCAAGACAGCGAACTCTTGAGGAGGTACTCCCATTTAGAGAAGATCTGGGTACTCCCTGACCTCGTGCTCTAACTTGAATGAATGGAATGATGGGCGTTTTGTCAGCTCGACGATCGCTTGGCGAAACTTTGGAATACAAGGCGGTTACATTTTTCTGGCCGCGTGTAGACCGGAGGCAGCCCAGGGAACTCTTGAGACTGAGCAAGTTACACCTGCTCTTCTGGTGCCCTGCTTTTGCGAGCCGAAGTTTCAGGCACCTTAGGTAGACCTTTTCACGCTCCCGATGAGCTTTTTTTTTAATGGATATCAGTCACTTGGGGAGCTTCGTTGTAAGACGTCCTAGCTCGCATCCTTCTGCCAGTTTGTTTAATACTAGGTAGCACTTTTAACTCAAAAAAAAAAGAGAAAGGAAAATCAAAAAGTAACTTCGACGCGTTGAGACGGATGATTTTGAATGACTAAGGCCGTCTTCTCGGCTGCGTGTTAAAGTCAACGAAAGCTTTAATTGTCCGTCAAATTTGCCGCTCACATTCTTATAACAGCCAATCGGGTAAGTCCATAACGATGTTTAACGGGAAGATAAATTTAACAGACAGTCAAGAAAACCGTTTACACTGACTGACCCGATGGAGATACACGCAGGGCAAAAGTATCAAACATGCAGTCAGATGGCACATAAATTAACGAAAATTTCCTACAAAGGCCACAAAGCGAAGTATACAGTATTTTTCATATAAAAGTAACCACACTTTAAAGGCATATAAAAGGAGGACATTTTATTGGCAAAATAAATTTTTGCCAACCTGGTTATGTACGAAAAACATCCTTTTTAAAAAAAACTTGCAAAAATTTCGGATATTATTGAATTTAATTTTCATTAAAAACGGTAAGGGTATTCAGACTATTCTCGTTAATGTATTAATTCGTTATCTGGTAACTCGGTAACACTTTCAACTTCGAACGCCCCTTATTATTTTTCTGGTTAAAATTACTTTTATTTAGTATTACCTACTACTTGTAAAAGTTATTAATTCCACGACAAAAAAGATTTTTTGAACTTTTGGTAAAACGTATGCACTTTTCGCGCGAGAAAATTCCAGCAAATATGTGACAGAAAGGAATCAGCTGACATTTTAACGCATGTGTTAATTTTTCAAACCCTGGGAAAATCAATTTTTTCAAACCCTGTTTTGTTTAAAATTTTCGTGTTTTTCTTTATTTTGTACATAGAATTTTATATGGGCACCAAAAATTTAGATGTTGATATTTTTAAGGACTACCCTAATGTACATATGTAAATATGTATATCTAGTACAGTTATTTTAGAATTCGCAAAAATTAAAAAACAAACGCCAGCTCAAGCTGTTGTCCTCTGCGCCCACCCACAGATTTCACAAATTTGTAAATAAATTATTTTATAACTTTTTGATATTAATATTCGGCATACGAATGCATTTGATTGGTTTATAGAATAAAAATTTGGTCAATAAAACGTTTTATGTATACATATGTATGTAATGTACATTGTACATACATATACATATACATATGTACGCCATTTCCCTTTTTTCGCGAAATTCGCGCGAATATTTCCAAATTAAAAAAAAAAAAAACAATAAAACCAAGCGATATAAGTTGTTGTCATGTGCCTGTTTTTAAAATTTGACGAATTGACTGACTATGACGGTGTCGGAGATTATATTCCTTTAAATCTCTTCAAGGTCGTTATAATGTGGGTTTATTCGCTTAGACGTGTTTTTTAAACGTTAATCACACATAGGTATGTACATTAGACTGCATCACTCCCCATACAAAACATTAGACTGCATCACTCCCCAAAAAAAAAAAAAAAAATC